CAAGGTGCTGCCCAGCCAGAAGCACACGTACGAGACCATTGGAGCGATTGATTATCAGGAGTGTGACATCTTTCGTGTTGAGCATCTGTGGAAGAACGAGGCGGGCAAACGTTTCATCTTTGGCCATCACTTTTTGCGTCCACATGAGACCTTCCATGAGCCCTCGCGGCGATTTTATCCCAATGAGGTGGTTCGCGTGTCACTTTACGAGGTAGTGCCCATCGAGCTAGTGATTGGACGCTGCTGGGTGCTGGATCGAACCACATTCTGCAAGGGCCGGCCCATGGAGTGCAACGATGAGGATCATTGCTACATATGTGAGCTGCGCGTGGACAAAACTGCACGCTTCTTTTCCAAGGCCAAAGCGAATCATCCGGCCTGCACCAAGAGCTATGCCTTCAGAAAGTTTCCGGAAAAACTTAAGATCTCAAAGAGCTATGCGGTAAGTGCAATAACTGAAATATTAATATGGAAATCATTAAATCAAATTATTTGCAGCCACATGATGTGGATCCGTCGTTGTTGAAAACGAGGAAGCAAAAGACTGATATAGAAGTAGGAGCAACGCCCATAAAAAGGAGCAGGCAGGAACAGAAGACAGGCCAGACAACGGGCAACAGAAAGCAGCGTAACACACAGGCAGGGACAGCCACCGGAGCGGCTGCATCAACACAAGTACCTGTTCAAGTATTAACGCCAGTCGCGCCAAATGGACAGGTTAATATCTAAACAATACGAATTGGCGGCATAATCACATTCAGCGATTTTCGTTATGGCAGGTTCTCAAAAAAAAACGCTCACGCTTGGAGAATGTTCTGAATACCATGAAGCTCAAATGTCTGGATGCGCAGACAGCGCAGGAGCAGCCAATCGATTTGTCCTACTTGCTAAGTGGACGCGGCGCCCGACAACGCAAAACCAACTGCACCAACAACGGCGGCGGCAGCAGCAGCAGCAACTCGGCAACGCCTTGCGCCTAGTGGATGCTAATATGCTTAGCCATGTATATAAATAACTTTAGAGGCATTGCGTACTATTTATGCAAAAATATTAATAATTTTATGTTTAGTTTTAATTAAAGAGTTGTAAAGCGCATAAAACGGTGATAGTAGTAATTCTAGTTTGTAAATTGTTATGAACAACTTCTTGAGCAACTTACGTACGATTTTTATAAAAGCTGCAATTATTTATGCATATATTTTTACAATTATTGCAATTATTTGCTTACACATGTATGCCTATGATTACGGTCCATCTTTATAGAAAAATTTCTTATGCTTTTTAAAATTGTTTAACATATGCATTTCCATTTATTATTATTATGTTTTACAAAAACCAAGGCCCTCTTTTAATAGCATTTAGCATTGTTATTTTAAATTATTATTATTATAAATTATTATTATGTTATGGCTGCTTATCAAACTACTTGGGCAATACAAGTAGTGTACTCATTGCGCGATTAGTTTTAAATCATGTATATTTTAAAAAATTGTTATCAACTTCTAACACAAATTTAAAAGTAAAATATATATATATTTTCATTAACAAGCAAAATCCAATTTCAAAAGGCCACTGAATGTTCTCGTTATATCGATAGTGAGCTTTTCGATAGTAAAGCTCTAGCAGATTTTAATATCGATAGGCCTAACTCGCAACAGCAACCCTGTTTGAGGTTTCTTTTTTGTTGGCACGTTGATGAACGACCAACACATTGGGACTGTGCTTAATCAAATAATAATAATAATCAATTTATTTAAATTAGGCCAGTGCCACTGTGTTCCATTGTGCAGCAACCAATATTGGATTGCGTGATCACGGTCAAGTGTATAGCAGCAACAAGCAACATTAACAGGATGAGTCAATACGCGATCATTTTGCAACGTGAGTTTCCGGCTATAGACAATGAGCTGAAGGACTACGTTGAGGGCGTCCTAACAGGCAGCGAAGAAGATTTTCACACGTGCGATGACATCTTTGATGCTGTGGGCGACATACTGCAGGGTATCGATGGCGAAAAGTCTGAGGAGAGCATACGAAGGCTTTGTGATGAATTTTTCAATATAATAAAGAATAACTCGAAGAACGTTGAGCACAAGGTGCTTAATGCGCCTGTCAATATTGAAGAGATGGCCAGGAATATGGAGCGTATGGACAAAGATATGCAGAGTATATGGGTGGTCAACAAGGATGGCGCTAATGTGAGTAACTATTCACATTTTAATGATGCTGCAATTAACACAGTTAACAATTATAGAAAGTGGACTCCAAAAAGCTGGAAAAAGCGGAAGCTAAACTAGTGCAGAAACAGGAGAAACGCCAAGAGGTGACCAAGCTGGGCGTTGTGCCGGTGGCTGTTAAGCTGCAAACGGCCACCGCTTCTCAGGTGACCAACAAAAAGAATACCAAACTGGACCAAAAGGGTCTCAATCGCTCCATGGACATTAAAATTGAAAATTTCGATTTGGCTTTTGGTGAAAAGTAAGTAAACATTTAGTAATCCCATTACGATTCCAATACAAAATTGTAATGACCACTTTCATTTTTGTAAAGGGTTCTACTGCAGAATGCCAATTTGCTGTTATCCTTTGGTCGCCGCTATGGTCTGGTTGGCCGGAACGGACTTGGCAAAACGACGCTGCTGCGCATGATTGCTGAACGTCAGCTGCAAATACCGTCGCACATCACCGTACTGCATGTGGAACAGGAGGTGGTTGGCGATGACACCTCGGCCGTAGAGAGTGTACTCGAATGTGATACGGAACGTACCCGTCTTTTGACGAGGGAAAAGGAAATTCTAGCTGCCTTGAATAGCGGCGTACAGGATGCGACGCTTTCCAGTGATCTAAGCGAAACTTACGCCGCACTGCAGAATATTGAGGCTGACAAGGCTGTGGCACGTGCTTCTGTGATACTTAAGGGTCTGGGCTTTGATGCAGACATGCAGCTTAGGCCAACGAAATCATTCTCCGGTGGCTGGCGAATGCGCTTGGCTCTGGCTCGAGCGCTATTCTCCAAACCGGATCTGTTGCTGCTTGATGAACCGACGAACATGTTGGACATCAAGGCCATTATTTGGCTGGAGACTTACTTGCAAACCTGGCCGACAACCATCTTAGTTGTATCTCACGATCGCAACTTCCTCGATACGGTACCAACGGACATAATCCATCTACATTCCCAGGAGCTAGAGGCATACAAGTGAGTACCCATTCTAATTGTACCCAATAAACAGATTGTCTCCAATGTCCTTATCTTACTCAGAGGCAACTATGAACAGTTTGAGAAAACCAAAACGGAAAAACTCAAATCTCAACGACGAGAATACGAGGCGCAACTGGCACACAGGGCACATGTTCAGGAATTTATTGATCGCTTTCGCTACAATGCAAACCGTGCCTCATCTGTGCAGTCCAAAATCAAGATGTTAGAGAAGCTGTAGGTAAAACGCGAGCTTTAGCTTAAGCTGATTAAACTCATATTTTGCTTTGCTCGCCAGACCCGAGCTCAAGCCGGTGGAAAAGGAGACAATTGTAACGCTCAAATTTCCCGATGTGGAGCCGCTTAATCCGCCGGTGCTGGCCATCTCGGAGGTTTCGTTTCGTTACAACCCCACTGATCCGTTGCCCATTTTTAAGGGTGTTAATCTATCAGCCACCTCGGATTCGCGTATTTGCATTGTGGGCGAGAATGGAGCGGGCAAATCGACGCTGCTTAAGATTATTGTGGGCCAACTGAGCACCATCCACGGCAACATAGTGCTCCATCGCGGCCTGCGCATTGGCTACTTTGCCCAGCATCATGTTGACCACTTGAATATGAATGTCACCTGTGTGGGTGTCCTAGCGGAACTGTTCCCTGGACGCCCTGATGAGGAGTACAGGCGTCAGTTGGGAAGCTTTGGTCTTTCGGGACCACTGGCTCTGCAGAGTATTGCCAGCTTGTCTGGTGGACAAAAATCGCGTGTGGCCTTAGCAAAAATGTGCATGGGTATGTAGCATAATTTTCAAATGCAATGACGGAGATTCTATTAAGTTCGCTCCCTTAAATAGCGGAACCAAACTTCCTAGTGCTTGATGAGCCGACGAATCATTTGGACATTGAAACTATAGATGCACTGGGCAAAGCTATAAATGCATTTAAGGTAAACCCAAAACCTTTATAAACACTCCCAAAGCTAACTTAGTCATGTTATTTTAGGGCGGCGTCATTTTGGTCTCTCACGACGAACGATTAATTAAAGTCGTTTGCAAGGAGCTGTGGGTCTGCGGAAATCGGACAGTGCGAGCTATTGAAGGCGGCCTGGATGAATATAAACGTGAGGTATACAAGGAAATCGAAGAAGCTAATAGCTGAATTTGATTTATTTTACAAAAGATTGCGTGAAACAAAATTTAGCAATAAATTTGTAGTTTATCAAAGATATTTAAAAAAAAATTTAATATAGAAAATATCAACAAAATAATATAGTTTGTTAAACTTACGAATAGCTTTAGTTGATAGACCTCAGATGGTGCCATTGTGTATGTGTGTGTTTATCTAAGAATGTAAATTCAGACCATGCATGAATACTGGCAAGAAGAAGAACCAACAGTATAAATACAGCTGCACATTGAAGCTGGGTCTCAGTTGAAGCTGCAACGCAGCCCTGTGCAGATGGTGTTAAAATTTAATTTTTTTTCTTGTGCTTGAATAAGATATGATATGCAGATCATGTGTGTTAACTCATAAGGGAAAGACCCAACAGTATAATTAAAGCTTGCTTGTGTTTGTAAGCTGAAGGATAAGCAAACAGCATGCATTTATTTGGACACGGAAATGCCGCTTCAGTTGGACTTGCAGGGATTATATGGTGATTAAACCAAATTTATTTATTTTATATTCTTTCCATTTCTGCTTGCATATATAGATATAAATAGAAAAACCCGGCGTTGCCGGGTCTAGCCCATAACGCTACCCAATCAGAATCTGTCTATATATATTATATATCAATTAGTTTTATTTGTCAGCTTTTTGCGTAGCTCGAAAAGTATTAATGTGAGTGCAGATACCACGTTCAAGCTATCAATGCCCGCCGCCAGAGGTATATAGACACACTTGCCTCTACTGCCCACCAGTTGCATAAATCTAAGAGACAAAATAGTTTAGTTATAGCTATTGAAAAGTTCTTAATTTACTTGTTTACTTGTAAGCATCCTCGCTAACACCATGACTCTCGCCGCCAATAATAAGAATATTGTGTACTCCAGTCTGTCCCAGCTCTGCATAGTCCACTGCCAAATTTTCTGGCTTATTCAGGTTGTTTTCTGCAATGAATACATGACAATCATCGGCTACCTCGGGCGGTATGTGGAGTGGCAGCTGTTCCCAGGTGACATCATCGCATATGGGCAAACGGAACTGTCCGCCGCAGCCGCCGCGCAAAGCCTTCGATTCCCAGGGATCACAGCAGCCGTGCGTGACCACCACCTGGCTGCAGGGCAAAGCAGCACATGTGCGTATGATGCTGCCCAGATTGTTGGGCTCTCGTATGTTGTCGCATACAACTGTAATGGGCAGGGGCTCACTGCCCAGCTGCTGCTGCCGTATACCCCGCGCCGAGGGGCGTTCGAACAGTGCCAGCAATCCGGGTGGCGTTACCAGCGAAGACCATGTTTTCAGATCATGTTGTGGCACTTTGTAGATTTTTGTGTTGTCCTCCTGCTGGGCCTGTGCCACCCGTTCACGCAGCAAGGCCAACTGATCCCTTTGGCTAAAGAATAACGAATGCATTTTCAGGCGACATTGCAGGGCTTCCTCTATGAGACGTCGGCCTTCGATAATAATCTGTTTGTTATTGTCACGACGTTTGCGTGAACGCACTTCAGTGAGTAATGTGCTCATTAGTGGGTCCTGTGGGAATTGTTGAAACTTTAGATGTATAAAGCAAAGATAGTACCTCCATTCTACCTGCAAAGTGAGTCGAGTAAACTCCAAATTCAATTCGCTGTCTTTTATAAGCGGAGCAGGAGCCCGCTTAACTGTAGGTGTTGGAACATTTCTTGACAGGGCCGATGTGGCTGTCTTACTCCCAGTTACAGGCTTCTTTTGCGAAGCTGTCTTTTGTTTACTAATTAATGTTGGTTTGTGCTTGCGTAAAGCTTCCCGCGTGTTCACTGGCTGATGCTGCAACAATGAGTTTTCGAAAAGGTTCGCCTCAATGTCCAGTGCGTCCTTGATTTCATCATTGTGGCCACTAGAGGTGCCGCTGCTGAGGCGCACCAAATAATAATTATTTACATTCTTTATACCTGCTTGCACGGTTCTTTTAATAACATTATAAAACATCTTTGGAAAATTGTTGCCGGCATAACCATATGTTTAATCGATAACAATATCGAAATCGGCTAGTAGTGATGTGCATTTCAATGTACCATGCGATTAGCACAACTTTAGTAATAACATGAGATGCTTTTAAAATAGTTCTTTTACCTTCACATGATCTACAAATGTAGTATATATATGTCCAAATATTGTCACAGCAACAAAATCATTATTATAGATATTAATTTAGTCTAGACGAAAGATAAAATATATTTTCCAGATTGGAAATGTCGTGCCACGCGTGTAATAGAATCAAGTTAACTTTTCGCCCTAGTGGCAACGTTCAACAAGTGTGTTTTAGTGAGAAGGCTGGCAACTCTAGTTATCACGAATATTGCATAAAGTTCCACAACTCCGATAGAATTTCCAATTTAAGCCTAATTTAAAGCCGGTTTGGACTTAGAATAGGTATACCTGCTTGTGGGAACAGCATGTTAACTAAGTCAGTGCTAATTGCCGCCTTGGGTCAGCGCGCACCCAATTGGCTGATGAAACGCACCTTCAGCAACACGCAAATCTTCAGGCAAGCGATTAAAAATCATCAGCCCAATGATTTGGAGAAGCGATTCCTGGTTTGGAGTGGTAAATACAAGACAGCAGCTGATGTGCCAAGCTTTGTAAGGTTTGTTAGTTAAAGATAACTAATCTAGTTAACTCGCTAATAGTATATTTGCAATTTTCACAGCCAGGAGGTAATGGAGCGCTGCCGCAACAAGATGCGCATTATGTTGGCCAATGTAATGATTGGTCTAACCGTTATCGGATGTGGTATTATGATTTACAGTGGAAAGCAGGCAGCGAAGCGAGGTGAATCTGTGACCAAACAGAATCTGGAATGGCACAAGCAGTTCAATGAGACAGCCTCCACTGGCACCGGAGCATCTGAAACCAAATAATCATCACAAACTACCAGAACAGCAAAGTAGATCGTGTAATTAATGCAATTGTAAACTGTAAACATTGGAATTGGCGTTGAAATATTGTCCGATATTTCCAATGTCATTAGTTGCAGTAACAATTGCAGTAGCCTTAAATTTTAATTGAAACAGTGATATTTCTTAAACTCATGCTAGAAGTTTTTATCCTTGTTGTTTGATCAAATTGCCAACTGTTAATTGTAGCACACACAGCACTGAAATAAATATTTACTCAAATCAGATCATGTAATTAATTAATGTAGTTGTAAACTGTAAGCATTGCAATATTGAATTATTTTCATATTTTTTAATATCAATATCAATTTTTGACCTCATGCTAATGGTTGTTATCCGCATTGTTTGATCAAATCGCCAACTGTTAATTGTAGCGCACACTGGACTCAAATAAATATTTATTCAAATGTTATTACATTAAGCCTTCAGATCTAAACCTTCTGATCTAAATGCTGTATGTGGTCACGGCGGCAATAAATTGAAATTCACATATCACTCTTTAAAAATATTAAAACGAACTCAAATTTAAATTGTATGCACAGTTATCCCTACAACATAGCTTCGAATGTACATGAATATATTATTTAGATATAACCCATGGGTTAATCTAATGATTATATCTTTTACTGTCTACTAAATTAAGGTTAAAAAAAAAAAAGACAAATTCTCCAATGCTAAAAATGCCAACCTTGTTTAATAATGAAAGATTTGAATCATTAGATATTTAATAATGATCAAGCTTTTGTTTGGATTATTGGCGTTGCGATCCATTGTATAGCAGCAGAAACATCAACAGTGACCACCACTTGCGCCAGGAGGCAGTGCGCCTGCGCGGAGAGAGAGAGAGAGCGCGTCCCGGATTGCCAGTCGAAGAGAGCGCCGTGGATTTACACATGGCCAGCAGGCGACTACGTAGGAGACGCAGATGGGTGCAGCAGCAACCCTGCTGCTCTTCGGCTGCTGCTGCTGCTGCGCGCTTTTCACTTTCCGTTCTTTCAGTTTGTCGAGAACGTTTGAACACATCGGGACTTTGGAAATCGTGCGTGCAGGCAAAGCTAAGCAAAGAAACAAGAGAAAAAAAATATAATTCCAAGTTGCAAGCAAACGCTGAAAAAGAAATGTGCAAAATATAGTGTAAAAATAAAAGCCAAAAGCGTTAGGCAAAAATGTGCGGGAAGCGTGAAAAAAGCTAAAACGAGAGCAAGTGTAAAAATGTAAACTACACACGCACAACACTCGCACACAAAATACATGAATGTAAGTGTCAGTGCCTGGTTGTAAACGCATGTGTTTGTGTGTGTGAATGTGTGTGTTTGACATACCAATGACCACAGACACTACAAAAGGCAACAATAACAAAAGCTAACTGAAATATTAATAAACTAATTGTTTAATCAAACATATTGATGCGGAAAATCCATAATAAAAAGGAACATTAGACGCGCTATTTGTGCGTCTCTCTGTATGTGTGAGCGATTTTTTTTCTTTCAAAAAGCAACTGTGCGTGTGTGTGTGCGTGTGGGTGGGTTAGATTGTGTATGGATGCGCGTTTCTGTGTGTGTGTGTGTATGTGTGTGTGTAGCAACATTCGTATGCTTTTTTGATTTGTGAAAATGTGTGTATCCGCGCGAATGTTGTTGTTGCACGACGAGACGACACAGTGTCAGTCGCCTCGTGCAGGAACACCTACACAAACCAAAAAAAAAAATAGAAAGGAAAATGGAATACAAAATTGTCCTTGTACAAAAATCGTGTTGATAATAATAAATGTATAATATCTCATTGGAATTACGCCCCGTTGCGTGCAAGATAATAATAATAATAACAACAAAAACAAGCTGCTGGCCCAAATAACGTGCACCCGCTTTTAATTTTAATGTGCATCAGTCAGGAGCCGCAGCTGCAGCAGCAGCAGCAGCAGCAACAACAACAGAAAGTCATTCAACGAAAACTAACGGTGACGGTCGCGGCGGCTGTTTTGCGCTCTCTGAGTGTGAAAGTGAAGGTCGTCTGTAGGAGAGAAAGAGCGCACAGTATCAATAGAAGCAGCAGCAGCAGCAGCAGTAAGCAGCAAGCAGCAGCAGCAAAGTCCAAACAGTCCATTTGCTGGCGCAAATGTGCGAAAAATCCTTGGCTTGGTTTTTGGCGCAACAACAAAGCCACATTAATACTCACGCACGCATCAACATTCACACTCACACACACACAAACACACATGCATATATACACTTGCAGATATATAGCTTGGCATAACTCTTTGCATGCACGTGTCAGAGCCGTTGTGTGTGTGTGTGTGCGTGTGTGCGTGTTTATGACGCGCTTGATGCACAGCAGCTGCTACTGCGGCCCTCCTGCATTTGTGTTTGTTACTTATTGTTGCTTTTGTATTATCAGCACAGATGCAAATCCCTTGAAAGCTTTAAATTCCGCCTTGGTTTAGTGGTTTCGCGCTGGTTTTCAAGGATTTTCGAGATTTGACGCAGTGAGTTCTTATCACTCTGGAAGCTTGGGCATGTGAATAGCGAAAAGAATATTAGACAAATGGAGATATATATTTATAGAGAATTAATTGTTTTACAGTATGTATTTTTCGAACTTTTCTACATTTCATAAATATATCGCAATTGGGTTCGCTTGAAGTTTAAATGTTTACAAATAGTTGCGGTTCAAAGTTCTTGCACAGCCTTGATAACAATTTGTTTAAAATAGACTATTTATGCATATAACAAAAGATGCATTAGTTCACAAATATTTTATAATTAAAGAATTCTCGACAGTTATATCAGATCTGCACTAAGAATAAACCAGGGAAAATGTTTATTTTGTTACTATAAGCTGCGTCCGATATTTATTTTTATTATTTAAAATTAGTTTGTATGTTGTTCATTAATTCCTGAAAATGATTGATTTCATATTTATATAATCTCAAACTTCTTCCTCTTACATAAGCTTCGTCAAATATGAATGAGCGATATATACAAATTTTTTTTTATTTTTAAGTATTTTTGATTGTTCTAATGGCTCTTGAAAATGATAAGTTGAATATTTATTGTTTCTCAAATCGTTTCAATCAATGCTACTTTGGCAGCCCTGGCATACACATCGCATACATACATATGTACTTCGCCCACAGCTATATGTGAGATTATTTGCAGATATAATCACATTTCACGCTTGAAAGGCTTGGCGTTCCTACATAAATTACGCCATTGCCTTCGAGTACCCTGCGTCTCCACACATCCTGCATATTATCCCCGTTGAGGTCACTTGCACGTTCTTGTTTCGACTACGTTTCGCCCCGTCCCGGCCCGTCCCGTCCCTCTGCTGTGCTCGGGCGCCTTGTCCTCAGTGGTGCGTTAAATGCGACCGAAAAGTTTTTCGGGATTGCTGATGCGTTCCAGTGATAAGCAAGCACAACTCTCTCTAAAGTCGTTTCGCTTTTTATGAGTTTCGCAATTAGTTTGAATGGCATCTAGTTTATTCTGCAATCCAAAAGCTTGCACATGACCCGGGGACATGGCTGGCCCATTGCCTTGCCCATCTGTAGAATTTATCATCTGATTGTCGAATGTGTGCAGGCAATTTAAATAATAAATTAGCTTTTGCTTGCAATCGCATGCTGGGCTTTGTTTTGTACACCATTGCGTGTACTTAATATGTTAAATTAATAATAAGCATACGCATCGTTGACCAAGAAGCAAGCGGCAAGTTGAAAGTGCCTTCTAAATTGAATCAAATTAGATTGTTTTATGCAAAACAAACAATGAAAACTATTTTATTTATGATGTAATTAAAGAAGAAATATATATACATTAAACTTTAAATAGAATAAAAACAAATATATTATTTACATTATCTTCTTGCCATTAGTTCTATTTTGTGCTATCAATCAATTCGCCTGAAAGGTTGTTTATTAATTTTCGGGCCATCAATTTACGATTGTCCGCTTAGAATTGTCATTTTATGCTGTTATAAATGATAAATCAACATTGTTAAAATAGTCAATGTGTAAAGTTTTTCAATATTCTCACATTAACGTAACAAGAGCCTCGTATTACACGAAAGAAACCCATCGTCCATTGAGTTGGTGGGCGGCTGGGGAGATGGATACATAAGCGTCTCTTAAGCAGCCCGGACGCAAAATTATAAAATGCTCATAAGTCGCAGAGACAGGCACAGCAGAACGTTCTTAATGTTGAGCCGACGACGCCAACAACGACGACAAAGTCGACGTCGACACAAAAAAAAAAAAAAACAAAAAAAAAAATCAAATAATGAATAAAAAAAATGAAATAAAATAAATATAAAAATACCGCCTAGCGACCCAAACCAAAATTAACCACCCACATTCAAAATCCCCCCTGGGGCCTCTGGGCAGGCGCAGACTTGGCTCTTCTCTCGCTCTGGCTGCTCTCTGGTCTATTCCTGCATTTGGAAATTTTCAATAGTTTGGTTTTCTAATGCCGCCAACGCAGACCCCAAAAAAAAAAAATTAAAACATACAAAACTTGCTTGTAAACAAAATCGAGCAAAGGCAGCAACAACAAGAAACGGACAGTTACGTGTGTGTGTGTGTGTTTGTGTGTGTGCTGTTATTGTTTAAATATAGCACACAACTAAATGTAAACATTGTTAACGTATTGTCCATAAAAACACAAAATGAAAATGCACAGACATAAAAATGCGTTTATGAACCGAAAGCATCTTGAGTTTCCCTGCAATGTCCCATATATTTTTTTTAATAGTATGCGAATTTGGCGGTTCCGGCGGTCGAAACTAGGAAATTGCGGCCGCAAGGGAGCGTGCGTGAGAGAGAGAGAGAGTGAGAGCGGGTAATTTACACAAGACGCGCGAGAGAAAGAGGGGGCTAGAGAGAGAGCGAGAGGGAGACAAGAAAATGAGAAAACGTTAGACGTGAAGCAAAAGTCAACTCATAATAAGGCCCGTAATTGGGTCCCTCGCAAAAAATGCACAGGATTTCCGTAGATTTTACGTGTATTTCATCCATTAACTAACAAGAGCTGCGTGGAGAGGAAGGTCTTTGGTAATGGGGTGCGCAGTTCTCAACAATAAACAAAACTACAAAAAACGGCGTTCAGAAAAGTAACACGAATTTGTGAAAATACTTAAGTAATTGAAAAGGTTGTAACGAATTGCGGATGCACTATTTGTCTGTGGGTACATAATATATATTTATTTATAGGTGCATTCAATATATATTAAGGGGGGTATTGAAATATGGTTTACAAATATTTCAGCAGTAAAAATATGTTCTTAAATACTTGATTGATGCTATTTTATTTAAGCACATAAACATTGGTATGTCTGGAATTTATGGATTTATGGGATTTACTCGTATAAACATGATGTGCCTGTTTTGACGCTTCTCATTAAAAGTCGAATAAATGAAACTCCTGGTGTTTATAAAAGTATTAAAAAAAATGTTATAAAAAGCATATAATGCGCATTTCAAGCTGAAAAGTCAAAACAATTGCATTTAAATTACGATTTTTATTTTAAAAGAATGTAATTACTTTTCTCGAGGTCTAAGAAGACATAT